ATTGGATGAAGCGTACACCCCCTGGTAGTATTTTTAGATGGTTATTCTCAAAAACCGAAGGTACAAAGTTAACAATTCTCCTTGAGAACTAACTTTCTCCTTCCAAATCTTCACATACCAGGAAACGCAGACTTCTGTTCAAATATATCGGAGTGCAGAGTTTCTGTACACATCGCTCACACTGCATCAGGTTCGGGATTGGCGTTTCGCTTATTGCTCGTGTCGAGTTGCCTTGGCGCACTGCGCAGACTGGTCCCGGCTGGCCGAGGCGGCAGCGGCTAGCTGATAGGGCGTGAGGGCATCGTACTCCTTGTCGTCCATCTCCTCGACCACGGCCGTCTGCGAGGCCAGGCGCTTGCTCATTGTATGCGCTGGGGCGCCCGTGCGCCGGCTAACGGCAGTGGCGACCTGAGCGGCGCCGAGTGGGCCATACTCCTTGTCTTCGATCTTGGTTACGTTGGCCATCTTCGCGAACTCCTGCGTCTGGCCCATCTGGGTTCGGTCAAAGTCGGCCGTCCTCGATACGGTCGTGTACATGTCCGCGCTTGTCTGGCCTTCTACCGCATCGTAGCCGTCAGCTTCGGCGGAAATGGATGACGGACTGCTGTCATTGGGTTCCATTGTCTGTTTCTTAGATCCCTTGTTCTTCTTCTTCTTCTTCTTTGACGAAGTCGTTGCATACTCATCCGCCTCCACATCGTCATAGAAGGACTCAGTTTGCGAAATGGTGTCCGCCGTGAAGGTCTGGAGGCTGTCGGGAGCTGGGCCCTGAGATTGTTCGCGATTGATGCTGTGAGCGCTGGATTTCGACTTGACCAAGCCCTTTGATTCAATCCTGCTCTCAAGACCGTGGTTGGTCTCAGTCCTGCGTAAGGCAGCCTCTACAGAATCTGCCTGGGAGAGGGCTTTTCGTTCGCTGGCGTGATTGCTGCGCGGCATTGTGTACATCCCTGGTGTCCTGTCCTGCTGCACTCGCATCTCCTGTCCGCCGGCTTGTGCGGCGTGTCGCTCGAGGTTCAAGGGATTGCTTGCATCGGCGGAGGCATCAGCAAGTGATTGACTGTCGTGCATGTCGATGGCAGTGTTGCTGGGTGTAGCGCTCACGCCCTCCCTGTAGGAAAACTTCAGCTCCTCTTCCCTGACCGACTGCGCGCTGTAATCGCTGGTGGTGGACGGGGACTTTGCCACCTGCTTTGACGTCGGCGTGCTAAGCTCGTTGACCAGGTCGTCAAGGTCCTGCTGGATGTGGGAGGCGTCCTCTGGCAAGTGTACAGGCAAGTCTCCCATGTCGATGTGCGCCACGTCCTTCGTGTGTGCCTTGCGTACGCTGGACCGGTCGGAGATCGGTGCCGCCTTCTCCTCGAAACGCTTTTCCTTCGCCTTCTGAGCCTTGTCCTTGTTCTGCGCCGCCTGCTCGATCTCATTCACCCAGTCCCAGTTTCTGCAGGTGACAGGGAACACATTCGAAAAGGGAGAGACAAACAAAACAGACAGGAATATCACGAGTCGTACCAAGGCAATGTTTTCAATTAGCACATCTCTGTGAACGCACCACTCACAATTTAGTAGTCAAGCGTCTAAATCGGTGTTTCAATGGAATGTCTAACGGACGGAAGTCTAGCCCCAGCACCCCATGGCATGATAAGGCTATGCCTATGGATTAGTTTGTGCCCCCACCACACACACACACACGGAGAAGCAAGCAGGCCCAAACACCCCAAACAAACAAACAAACAAACAAGAACACAGTCACACACACGCACGCACACACACACACACACACACACGCACACACACACACAAACACACACACACACACACACACACACACACACACACACACACACAAGGATCCCCCACACACAAACAAACACAAATACACACCCACCAACACCCACACATTTTTACTTCGTCGCTGGCAAAACTAGTCACTTGGAACATATGAGCGCTCACATAATCACGTGTGCACCCACAAAATGCTGCAATCCCAGCAACTCGAGTTATTCACTGCCCCAGAAGCTAGCAATAATATAAATGATAATGAAATTTCATGAAATGAATATATCTAAATGACGATACAAGAATAGTAAGAACAATAGCACAAACTTGGGAAATTGTTTTGCACAGGTAATAAAAACTATACAGGTGAGAAATGATAGTAAATTCAGCAAGTACATTGTGACAATGGACATGCATGTTCAAGTGTGTGTGAATGCGAATTCACTGGAATAGAGGCTATTGGGTCAGTGTTGTTCGTTCTGCAAGTAGTTTCTAGCAGTTGAAAGTTCTAGAAGCAGTCTACATTCGCATTCGTGATCCAAATCTTTGTTAACAAAAAGAAAACGTCACTGCACTCACACTATTCCAGCAAATTCACACTCACACACACTTGCACATGCATGGCCATTGTCACACTGCACTCGCTGAGTTTACCATCATTTCTCACCTGTATAGTTTTATTACCTGTGCAAACAACTTTCCCAGGTTTGTGCTATTTTTCTTACTATTCTTGTATCCTCGTTGCTTCAGTCCAAGTGTATAAATCCTACTGTAGTATCATCATTCTCTTTAGTCACGAATTCCATTGATAATTGTGACAAGAAAACGTTCTGGAATTCACTATTCGTCCCCATGGTTGTGATATGAGTGCGCACTTAGTTATATTCATTGCATGATGTAATTTCCTTCATCTTTCTGTGAGAACCGGACCTATGGGACGGTGAGAAGGCCATCATGCCTGTGCAATTGGTTCATTGCACTATTAATTCCGGCGCCACCTTCGTACCGTAGCCCTCCGGGCAACACAGCGACTTGGTGCTTTGCGTAAGGCTTTCCACCTCCTAGACGTGCCCGGTCGCATCCAAGCCTACAATGCTTTTGTGCGCCCAGTGATGGAGTACTGCCCTATTGTCTGGATGGGAGCGGCCCCATCCCATCTTGCAAGACTCGACCGTGTGCAAGCCCGGGCTATCCGTGCCATCGCCCCAATGTGTTGGCTGCCAAGTCTTGCTCTTCGTCGGATGGTTGCAGCACTTTGCCTCCTGTACAAGATGCATTGTCCGGATGCGCATCCCCTTCTACAGAGGATGCTGCCACCCCAGCAGCCCCAACACCGAACAGTCCACTCCACCCGTAGTACATTCCAGAGATGTAATGCTCACGCACACCAACTGGCCAATGAACTTCCAGTCCGTTCCCGCAACAACCTGTGTCGAGCCTACCCTCACGCAGTTGTCCCCGTCTGGAACCAGCTGCCCGCCGGAGTCTTCTCTGGTCCTTTCTGCACCAAGAACTTGCAACACTTCAAAGTTGCAGCCAACCGCTATTTGAAGACCAACGACTGGTCGTGGGCACATGACCATCTCTGATCATCAGCATCATATCTGCCTCACCCCATGACTTCCAAATTCCGCTCCACATACTATTCCCACTAACGTCTGTTCTTCTTTTCTCTCCTTCTCCTCCTAGCACTGTCTGTCTTATCATTCCCCTCCTTCTAATGTACTGTCTCTCCTCCTAACATTTCGTATCATGTACCTGTCACTCCTTTCATTTTTCTTCTTTTTTTTGGTGCGTTTTATGTCCCCATGACGTCGAGACCTCGGGTCGGCTGAGGGCAAAAAGCCTCACCATCACTATGCTCCCACTATGCAATTTTTTGTCCTTGCCTGTGAGCTGTGATCATTGTAAAAAAAAAAAAAAATTAAGATTATTGTCTCCACGTCGCCTTTTTACAAATTTTTGAAATTCCATGAAAATTTAATGTTTACGCAGCCCCACCAAGTCTTTGCCAACGCAACAAAATGAAATAAACCTCTCCAAATCCCTCCAATTAAGTCAAATGCGTCCAAATAGTCCAAGACGCCCTCAGGGCATCTTCCGGGAATTGTAAATCCTTTTTTTACTAAGGCCACAGCTTCCAATCATGACACGAAAAGCAACTGTGCAGTATCCGCTAGGTACAGGCTTCTGTTACGGGCAAACAGAATACAATTGACAGTGGCATGGCGAATGATTAGAACACAACACCAAAAAATGAAAACAATTGTATGTGTGAAAAAACGCGAAAAAAACGCGAAAAAAAAAACAAAAACAAAAAACACCAAAAAAACAGGAAAATACAAGGGCACTGTCCTGCCCACCATCGTCTCCAAAACCTCACAGCCGGCCCTCCGAGATTGCCAGTGCAGCATCCTGTGAGCATAACAATCACTATGACTGCTGTGGTTTGCGGAGTGAAAGCCGCACTGGAGTATGATAGGCCATTCACAATACGTGAATAGGTGTCACCAGTATTCTCGATGTGAGTATGCAACTGTGCGACTGTGCGACAGGGACATTCACACCAGCTTGATAAATTTTGAAACCAGGCGCGGGTGTGCGTTTTCACCGCGGCTGACCAAGTTGTCTTGGAGATAAAAATGGCGCATGCCCGAGCATGGGCTAGTCGGTTGACAAAAGGAATTCACCGACGACTTTTGTAGACGATGGGCCTTGTACAGCTCTCGTTCCTTCTTTCTTGAGCAAGTCGACATTGTTGTGTACTTCTTTCATGGAGAAGCGTTCCACGAGGCCGACTGCTTCCATGCGATTCTTCAGCAGGCGTGTAGCCTTTTGCTCCTTCGCAGTTCTAGTCATCACGAGTTTATCAGTCTATTTCAGCATGTCGCAACACATTTCGATGATTGTACGCTCAGATTCGGGACTGAAATTTTGGTTGGACATGGTCATCGGTCGACAGGAAAACAGAAAAAAAACACAACCGCTTGTTGACTAACATTGGTGCCAAAACGTTCGCAACCGAGAGAACGGACAGCCACGGTGTAGAGGCCGCAGGACAGTTTGTAGGCTCACGTTTTCAAGCCTCCCGCAAAACCATGGTTTCCATGGCCGGATGCTGAGAAACCATGAAAACATGACTTCTGCACTGTATTGTGTAAGGCCTATAAGCCACACTGGAGTATAAGCCACACTGGATTATAAGCCACACTTGAGTATAGACCTTATGCAATACACGTCACAGGCTGCAATCTCCATAGTAACGGTGCCCCGCTGAGCTCATCATGAGGGACTGAGTGGCAAAAAACTAAATTTTTGAACTTGAGAAGCAGCTGCTGATCTGATTATAATTATGAGGGAGGAGGCATTTTTTGTTTCGTTGTGGAAGAGTCCTTCCTTCTGCAGTTTTGCTAGTGCGATGGTCAAAAGTTGTTGTGCTGTTGGCTGCAGTAACCGGTCTAAGGTTGGTTCGGTTGTCAGTTTCTACCGCTTTCCGGCAGACCCTGTGAAACGGAAGAAGTGGACTGTAGCTGTTCGTCGTGACAAGTGGTCACCAAATCAAAACACTTGGCTGTGCTCTGCACATTTTGTTGGTGGAAAGAAGAGTGATGACCCTCTCTCTCCAGATTATTTGCCGTCAGTTTTTTCATTTGTACAGAGTCCTGTGAAACGGAAACAGAAGGAGCAACTAGAAGCGTACGAGCGGAGATCGAAACGTGTACGGTCAGGCCCGGTGTTCGATACCGGTGCAGATACGCCTCCACCGAGCGTGGTGAGTTCGTACTACACTGTATACTAATGCAACTGCAAGTCTGTTTGCCGACAAGGCTGTCGAGATTCAAATCTGTATCCTCACGATGGCCTGTACTACTGTGGCCAATAAGAGAGTAGAGTGATTATTAGGAGGTTGTTGTTTCAAATCTTTATTCTCACGATGGCCTGTGTGTACTGTTGTTGTTTGGTAGATTGCTGACAATATTGTGGAGATCCCTGTGGAGAGCAGCGATGATACTCCTCCACCGAGCGTGGTGAGTACTAATGCAACTGCAAATTTGCCGACAAGGCTGTCGAAATTCAAATCTTTATCCTCACGATGGCCTGTACTGTGGCTAATAAGAGATAATAGAATGAGATTTACATCACATGGAGGGCTTGGAATGCTTGAGTTATTTTTGTTGTTATTGTTGTTGTTTTGTAGATTGCTGACAAACCTGTGGAGATCCCTGTGGAGAGCAGCGATAGGACCGACTCAGCTAGTCCAGACACCGGTGGTAAATGCTGTCATCACGAGTCAGAATTCGATAATTTGAAATGTGAGAACTTGCTGCTGAGAGAGGAGGTGAAGAAATTAAGGGCCCAAAACTCAACTCTCCGTGGTGGAGCAGCACTTTCTGAGAACGATCTGATATGTAATGATGACAAGGTGAAGCTCTACACCGGATTGCCAACGTACGCTGTGCTCATCACTGTTTTTGAGTTTGTTTCCAGCGACGTTGAGCGCCACCACCGCTCGGCAACCTCATTGTTCACGCAGTTCTTGATGACGTTAATGAAGCTCCGCCTGAACTTAAATGATTCTGACCTTGGGTATCGTTTTGGTGTGGCCCAGAGTACCGTGTCGAGGTATGTGCTGAAGTGGGTGAACATTATGTATGTGCGTATGAAGCCACTTGTAAGATGGCCAGATCCGGGAGATCTAGGCAAGACAATGCCGCCAGAGTTCGCCAAGAATTTCAAGAAGTGTGTGTGCATCATCGACTGCTTCGAAGTATTCTGCCAGCGTCCCTCTGATCTGATGGTGAGAGGGCAGTCATACTCGCATTATAAATCGCACAACACGATCAAGTTCCTCATTGCCATTACACCGCAAGGTGTAATATCGTTCATATCACAAGCCTGGGGTGGGAGGACATCGGATAAGCACATCACCGAGAATTGTGGCTTTCTGGAGAAACTCCTCCCGGGTGACCAGGTACTGGCAGATAGGGGCTTTACTGTACAAGACAGCGTAGGTCTGTACTGTGCTGAGCTTGTGATCCCACCATTCACGAGAGGGAAGAGCCAGTTGTCTCGAATTGAAATTGACAAAGCGAGACAGCTCTCCCGAGTCCGGATTCATGTTGAGCGTGTGATTGGTGTGCTACGCAACAAGTATACACTGTTGCAATCCACATTGCCGATCAACCTCCTCATGCGTGACAGCGGTGATCCAAACATTGCTGTCATTGACAAGATTGCCACTGTGTGCTGCGCGTTGTGCAATTGCTGTGAGTCAGTTGTGCCTTTGGCTTAGCAGGGATGTATCCTTAGCTCTGAGACAAAGCCAGAGCTGGATAGCTGGATGTGTATAGTAGTGCTTGCTCCATCTCCGGACAGCTAGCTGTTTCGACCCCGTGAGGGCTCATCATACTAACCTTTTTGCATCAAACTTCATGTCAAAGTCCTTCATAAAATCCCCATCTCTCTCTCTCTCTCTCTTTCTAATTTTGCATGCTTCACCCTTCACTTCCTTTCTTGGTCTTTTAGTGATGGCTTGGACAATTCACTTGTCCAGGCGATAAGGCAGTCTCTCTCTCTCTCTCTCTCTCTGCCTCTCTCTTATCTTTGCATGCTTTACCCTGACTCACATGTACTATTTCTTTCCTTTATTGGTCATGCAGTGATAGCTTGGACAATTCATTCGTCCAGGCAATAATGCAGCCTCTCTCTCGCTCTCTTTGAGAATGCGTGAGTATGCGGTAGAGTACGCATATGAGACCAGAAGTGTGCACGTGCGTACATGCCAGAAGTGGGTGCTGTAACGGAACGCGACTTCAACTGCACAACGACCCAACCCCAACCAGGCACAACCACAGCCAATCCAGGGGAATACAGGGATACAGATAATAATTATAGCATTACCAAAATTAATTATAGTATAACGAACGTTGCAGTCCAAGAGAAATCTGAAGAAGATCGAAAGGAACTCGCCAACTACTACCTCGAGCCCGGAACATTTGCATCTCCGGAACTAACTCAGGTCCACGTGCTCATGCACGAGGTCACAGGAAACATGCATAAGACAGTTGGACAAAGCAGCAAGTACTATGGCTGTACTAAAGAAATAAAGACGTCATTATGTAGAACCAGCAGCAGAATGATCCGCACATAGCACGTACAGTAGCATACAGCTCGCAAGCATCAGCATGACTCATGAGTCAGACACACAGCTAAGCATGCACACGCTAACTCTTGATGCAAGACACAAAGGCCAAGGGAACAAGCACCAATGCAATACAACAGAAACATGTAAGCACACCAACATGGTGAAGATAGCTAACCCAATGCTAAATAAATAACATTGTCATAAAGCCATAGCTCCAGTTCAGTGCACAGCACCATAAATAAGTACATCACAATGTGATATGAAAATAACTCTCAGTGTTACCCCGGCTCGGCATGAGCAATATTATTCAAGATGCAGGGTTAACGTTCTTGGGTGCTTTCTTGGCATCCTTCTCGGCCTTCCTTGTTTTGCGGCAAGTGGGGCAGTACCATTTGCGCTTCGGTATTCCCTTCATCCGCAAGCAGACGACATGGAATGTCTTGACAGGGCACTCAACACTAGCACACGTCACCGTCTCTGAATCTTTCACTTGGTTGCAGAAGCAATGCCCAGTCTGAGGCACGTGCTGGCCTGCATGTTCACTTGATGCTGCATGTCCTGCGGCGATTTCAAAGCCTTTGCTGAAGAACTTGCCAACTAACTCTGGCAGCACAGCCAGTTTGAAAAAGTCAGAGACTTTAGAAATGGCACCAGAAATGAAATCAGTATCCGGCAAGATGCGAGAAATGACAAGATCCGTATGAGAATACACAATGAAATCGCAATACGCAGCTTGGCACAGAAACATTTGAGCCTGCACTTGATAATAGTATGCATGATCTTTCTTCAAAAAGAAAGAACCATCAGCATTTCGACCAAGGCAGAAGCCCACTTCTCGGTTGCATCGTCGAAGGAACTGTCACAGCAGCTGTAGGGACACTTAACCTCCACTACACCGTTGCCACAGCAAGCACAAGACACAACACCATCTGGGCTGGCACCAAGGTAAGGATAGTCGCTACGGACCACAAGACCACTGTCACAAAGCTGAAATGCCTTATGCTTCTTGATCACATTTAACTTGTAGGCATCCCTGGCAATTTGCTCATGTTCACATCCCCTCGTTGTTGCTTTGGATGTAAACTTCATACTCTGTGGGTAGCAAATTGCCTTCACCAGTGATACAGAAGGTTGATGGGCGTCACTGTGGGAAGCGGCTTTAAACTTTGAGGCAGTGATGCGACCCGCACGGCACATAAACCACAAGTCTGACTTTGCTTGCTCGCGCGTTGCTCGTTTCATTGCCATGCACTCATCTTGTGTCACAGAAATTGTCGAGAACACTGCATCACATCGGTCAAGCAAGTCACTGTAATTGGCTGAGACCATCGACTCCTCATACAAGTTGGACAGTGGTGCAGGAATATCAGATGGTAGCTTTGAAACATATGCATCTGCGTAACTTGGCACGATGGACAGCAGGGCTGGCATTGCCACCTCGGACAATTTGCTGTAAAATCCATCCAGTTCTGACGTTGTTGGTGCACTGGCCGAAATAACAGGAGGAGATGTTGGGCTGGGTAAAGCAGCAGACGACTTGGATGTCTTTGACTTCTTGCTGGGGGAGGTGAAATCCATATAAGCTATTCTCTTGTAGTCAACTGACTTTATGGACGGTGGCAACCACACACATCCCTTTGATGTGCAGGCGTTGTCAGACACAAATTTAGTGTGCGATTCCAAGGCAAACAATAAAGCAGCGATGTGGGCGCATGCTTCACCCAGCCCCGCTTTGCAGGTGCAGTGGGCGCAAATAATAGTGCCATTGTGTTCTGCAGCTATCCACGGTGTGAGAGGGTCGCTGCTGACTGACTGGGAGTGTCTCACCTTTGCTTTCACAACTCTCTTTTCATGATCCGATGTCGCCTCGTACGCACTCACATCTCCCAGCCACCCTGCCACCAAGAACTTGTTACCGTCGAGACTTTTATATGCCTTCAGTTCTTCCTTCGTTACCGGGCTAGGGGCTGTAATTAAGTAATTGAACAAGTCCGGATATTCGACTAGAGGCAGCAAGTCTGACAAATGATCGCCTTGATGGCCACTGATGCAGTACGGGTCTTTCGCTCCCTTCGCGATCAAATTTAGCTTTTCGTCGTACCTTTTCTTTGCAGCCTCATCCAACTTCTTGTACTCTGATGAAAACTCCACTACCTCGCTTTGCTCGCCATACATTACTACTGTAACTGCTGCCTTCTTCTTCTCGTCTCGAATCTCTTCCGCCCAAACTCAGTGGTTTGACCGTTTGTACTTTCAAACTCAAAACTCTCAGCTGCTCTCTTTTGCCACTCAGTGACTCTGCAGCCCCCTTGGCCGCGCGATCCGTGACGTCATTGGATATGGTCTATAAGCCACACTGGAGTATAAGCCACACTGGAGTATAAGCCACACTGGAGTATAAGCCACACTGGAGTATAAGCCACACTGGAGTATAAGTCACACTGGAGTATAAGCCACACTGGAGTATAAGCCGCACTGGAGTACAAGTCACACTGGAGTATAAGCCACACTGGAGTATAAGCCACAATGGAGTATAAGCCACACTGGAGTATAAGCCACACTGGAGTATAAGCCATACTGGAGTATAAGCTGCACTGGAGTATATGCCACACTGGAGTATAAGCCACACTGGAGTATAATCCACACTGGAGTATAAGCCACACTGGAGTATAAGCCGCACTGGAGTATAAGCCACACTGGTGTATAAGCCACACTGGAGTACAAGCCACACTGGAGTATAAGCCGCACTGGTGTATAAGTCACACTGGAGTATAAGCCGCACTGGAGTATAAGCCACACTGCAGTATAAGCCACACTGGAGAATAAGCCACGCTTGAGTATAAGCCACATTGGAGTATAAGCTGCACTGGAGTATAAGCTGCACTGGAGTATAAGTCGCACTGGAGTATAAGCCGTACTGGAGTATAAGCCACACTGGAGTATAAGCCGCACTGGAGTATAAGTCGCACTGGAGCATAAGTCGCACTGGAGTATAAGCCACACTGGAGTATAAGCTGCTGGCTAATTTTGTTTGCTTGTGGTAGTTAGAGCGTGTGGGTGTGCTGTGGCTAAAGTATGTAAAGTAGATTCCTGCCAGAGCGCCCCGTCTCCCCCATGCCCCCCTCCCTGATTTCTTGTCAGGGAAGTGATTGACTGTATCCTCGTATGACTCTGTGATGCCGTACTGTGCTGCAGTCGCCTGCTCGACCCCGTTGGAAATGTACGCACCAGTACCCACCCTCTTGACCAGAGATCGCACAAATCCTGAGTTTTGATGGGTCTGTGTGACACCTGGCTCTTGACATTTGGCTGGCGCACGAGGTGCACAAACAGTTTTCGTAGGGTGACTACTTTTTCATGTAGTACGGAATGCGGTAAGTAGGACTCACCCATCCGCCCCTCCCCACCTGGACCTACTCGAAGGGTGGCAGAGGTAGGGGCGCGCAGGCGGGATTTACGGTAACAACACACGGAACGGAGATCATTATGGCTGATTTATGCCCTAGTGCGTGGACCGAGGTCGTGCACCGTAGCCCAAGAGCCCGAAGCCCGTGGGCTATGGTGCATGACCGAGGGCTACGCACTAGGGCATACAATCAGCCATAATGCACGACGCACCATGTGTTTATTATAGTTAGTACATGCCACGTGCCTAGTTGTAGACAGATAAGGTAAACATGGTCAGGGGAGGAGCAGAGTGCCAATCAGCTGTCATATGAATGAAGGGTCGAGCAAGATCGGAAGGAGCTTTCTTCGTGGAATAATATAATTCTTTGTGTCAGATTTACTTGCAGCTCCATGAATATGCCTTTGCAGTTTTGAGATAGTGTTTCCAATTGGGCGATACGGACATTGGCTGACTCGCTATGGTTTTAGAGTTGCCGTTGAACGAAAACAGCCTTGACCAAGTGGCACTAGTAATTAGACTACCTTTGAGAGTACATTGTAAGTGCTGGCAAACACCTCGCCAGCGCAGCTCATGTAGCGTCTACACACACATTGTTTTGTTTTGGTTTTTGTTGTCATTGTGCATTTCCCCATCTTCCATAGGTATTTGCAATGTGATACAGAGAATAAAATTTAATAACAAAACAAAAAAACACACACACACCTACAAACTAAGTCTCACACTTTCCTGAATTACTGAGAAGATTTCTGCGTATGCAGATCACTCTACTTCAGTATTTGCGTGCATGAAACAAAAAACAAACTCACGCGGGTTCTTTGGCACGCCTGCGTCGCACCATGAAGCCGGCAAAGGCCAGGACCATGCATCCAGCCACGCCCAGCGGGGACAAGAGAAGAGCGAGGCTCAGCGTTCTGCCATCATCCTCGTCATCTCGATTACCGGATTTTTCAAGTTTTTTCGGTGATTTGGTTGTAGTCGGAGAAACGCGTGCGACAGTAGAATGTTCTCCTCTGCCACTCTCGTCAGGCGATGCCTCAGTCTTTTCATCAGGATGAGAGGCACCTGGAGCAATGGTCTTAACAATGTGGCCCTTTGCACTACTGTTCGCTGCATTGGGACCATTTCCTTGCGTGGTAGTGTTGGTA